AGCATCATGATAATGAGTGCGCAGCAGGCCTTCTCAGTCGACATGGCGCGGCCACTGGGGTCGCGCAGGTCGACCCGGCGCCGGGCTGACTGGTCGCGGCCCGCAAAGGCCAAGTTGTCGAAGTCGGGGCAAACGTGGCGGCGGGGGCAACTCTCGGTTCCAGCGGACCATGCTTGGGGGGTCTGGTGCGGGAGCTCAGCGGGGGCGCAGCGCCCTTTGATGCGCGGCCGCCGCGCGCTTCCGCCCTGGGTCGGCGGCCGCAGGGGGAGCTCGCTGGGGCAAATCCGGCACCGGGGGGCCCCCCAGGGGGCGCCCAAGCCGATCGCCCAAACCAGGGTGGCCCAGGTCATGTTGTAGACCAGGTTGCCGGCGTCCATGCCGAGCTCCAGATTGAACAGGCATCACAGGTGGCTCCAAGCTTTCCTGTCGAACTGGGCGGGGTCGGAGGGAACGCTTTCTGAGTTGCACTTGCGGGGGCGGAGCCCAGCGACTAGGCAGCGCGAGGTCGGTCGGGGGGTTCTCCGGCGCAGCGTCCAGCTGGCGGCCGAGGTCGCCCCAGAGTCTTCGTCAAGGGGGAGGCTGTAGTACGCGCTGAAGCTTTTGGCGTATTCCTCCCTCTTTCCTGCCACTGCCTGGTCGATCTTGACCTTGGCCTCGTCGGCTTCGTTGGCGGCTAGGGCGTCAGGCCCCTGCGGGGCCCACGAGGCGAGGTCGTTGATGGGGTCAAAGGAGGAGGCGGTCAGTTGCTCGGGGCGGTTGCCGGGGCTGTGGCGGGGGTAGAATCGGACCGAGAGACCCGCGAGGCACCCGTAATTGGAGAGGGGCCTCAGTTTGGAGTCGGTCATGGAGGCCATCACGCGGACGCCCTGGATGATCACGTTCACTCTGTTGGGGATGTCCACGAATCCCCACTTGTGGTAGAAGTGGACGGCGCGGTGAGGAAGATTACTAGGTCGGCTTCGCCGCCCTGGCTGGCGTCGACTGTGGACAAGGCGAGCCGGCCTGAGGCGAGGTGCTTGTGGGCGATTTGGCGGAGGCCTGGGAAAGCGTAGCTCAAACCGTTGACGCCGTTGAAGACGAGCCCCCGCCCTTGCCGTTCGGGGATGCAGTCGGTGTCCATGGGGCCCGATACCGAGTCAGCGCATGTGGAGGTCTGAACCGAGGCCGCGGGTGAGCGGCTCCGCGGCGGGGACTGGCGCCATCCCGACGGCGGCGGGAAGGGGCGCCCAGCGACGCAATCCGTCGCATCGCAAGGGGGGCCAGGGGGGGCGGTTGTCGGAGTCGGGTCCGTCAGTGTTCTTGTCGTCCCTCATGGCTATCTGCATAGCGGGGGGGCTGAGAGGCCATCCGTCTTTGAGGCTGGTGGGGATACGCAACATCGAGAAGTTGTTTCAGTTCGCCGTGACTTGTCAACTCCAATGCTCGCGCCATCATCCCACCCACCCGCCCGCAACTTGGTTTACAAAACCCCTGAGGCGGCAATTGCGATGCCTGCCTGTCTGGCGCTGACTTGCGCGTCGCTGCGGCCGCGCTAGCGCGCGCAGGCTCCCGCGCAACGGCCAGCTAGTCTGGCGCGACCGACGCGGCCGCGGCGGCGCTGCACGCTGGGGACTCCCCAGCGCCTCTCACACGCCGCGCTGACGCGCGGGCACTTCAGTGCGACTCGGTGGCTCGGGCGGGCGCGGTGTCATGGCGACGTCGGCAACGGCCGACACGACGATGGCTGCAGCGATGCTGGTGACGACGACAATCACGACAGCAAGGCGAGTGATGGCGCCGCTGCGGATCACGCCGATGACGATAATTGGTGTCCACGCGTCGGCGATGAAGGTTTTGGAAGGATATCGGCATGCGTGCGCGGCCGACGGGCGCGGGTGGCCCGCATGGCACCATTTGTCCAGCACGAGCGCAAGGGCGTTCGAATGATTCCGACATGCGCGCGCGAGAGGCCCGTTCGTCAAAACTTGAAGAAAATGTGTAAAAGAACTGGCTGTTTTAAGTATTCGCCAAAACGCGCAGATCTGTGTCCAAAAAAACTGATGTAGGAAAACCATGTGATGTACGCGTTTTCGGGCCACCCGATTTGGAAACCCCTTTCGGAACCCAAGGATGTTGAAGAATTGTGGCATGCGCGCGCGACGGCGCGCGCGTGTGCACTTCGTTTTTTTCTCCTGCAAGAGGTTCTTGAAAATGAACGAGTTGTGATGAACAAGTGTGCACACGTAGTGCTGTTTTGCCAAAGATGGTGTGGGGGGGGGGGGGGGGGGGG